TCTCTCCTCCCACCTTTCATCTGTGCATGTGTGTACAGGATCTGGGTATCTTCTATGCATGACCCAGACCCCACCATCTCATGATTGTATGTGTGTGGCGTGATGCCATGTAGGTCAGTCTATGTGAGTCAGTCTATGTGAGTCAGTTCGTTATCAGACTTCCACTGCATAAATACTCATCCTATATTGGTTGATTCTTGGTTCTGCCCATACTCATTGGAGTATGTAACATGTGCGCATAGTGCTGCGCATTGCGGTCCCGGCAAGCGGCCGATTCCCGTGAAGCCATGCAAAGTCCTCGGACGTGAACGGGTCCAATACCTCTATGTTGAACTCGCGCGCCGATTCCCGTGAAGAACCACATGAAGACGATAAGTCGTCGCTGCCGAACGGAGAAGATGCCGCACACACGTCTTGTCCTTGAGCTTGAGTACCCAGCGTAGGAACGAGCCGGGCAACATAGTCCTCAAAATAATAAGTAAGAGGAGGACTATCGACTTCCACGTGCGCCTCGGAATGAAGGCCGGTTACTCGTGAAGAAACCGGTTCCGGAGGCGTCGAGAGTGTTGTCGAGTCACTCTCGGCGGTGCTCAGTTTCCCTGTTTGACCTTGCCTTTCAATGGGCAGGCCAGTGTCTCATGGAGATCTCTGTTGCACCAAAGGCAATAGTGGAATCTCGTGCGCGCCTTGAATGCTTGCTCGGAGATGCCATATTGGGACCATGGGGCTGGAGCTGTTGCGCCGGGCTCGGGGTTAGATGCGGTGTGTGTCTTCGTCTTGCCGCGTCCTCGGCCTTTGCCGGGGCGGCCACCTTCCCGGGCGGCTGCGAGTCTGTCCCCTTCACTGGCAGACACAACCTCGCTGGTTTGGTCAAACGGCGTTGCCGCCACGACCACGACCATTCTTGGCCGATGTTGGTCCTTACTCGGGCCTGATGCAGACGAACGCAGGTTCTTGGTCTCCTTGTTCGTGATAATGATTTGCGCGGCCTTGTCAAAGAGTTCCGCCGTTGTCGTCAAGGTGTCCTCGACGTGAGTCAAGGCATTGCTTAGTGCCGGACATGACCTTGAGATAAAATAGTGGCGGATGGCTTTGAAGCCCATCTGGATGTCTGGGACTGATGTCAAGCGTTGGTACTCGAGGATCCAGTCGGTACTCGGCAGCGGGCCTTGCTCGAAGACCATGAGCTTGTCCATAGCCTTGATCTCGGGCGGCTCGACTTGGAACGGCTTGTGCCATGCTGCCTTCAGATCATCCCAGCTGATCTTGGTGTGCAAGTCGTTAGCTACCACTCCGTACTTGGACAAGAGATTGTCCAACCAAGCCTGGCACGCGCCCCCTGAGCGAGAGTATAAGTATGCATGGTGCTTATGTTCTTTGACGTTGTGTACCTGTCGCGTGAGCTCGAACTTGCGGAACCATGGAATCGGATCTGTCTTCGTCGAGCCGCAGAAGATCTTCTTTCCGTCAAACTTTGGAGTTGTCTCGCGCGGTTCCGAACTTGAGGTGTTGGCGGTAGTACATATCCGATGTTGCAACTGTTGCGTTGCGGTGTCCTGTAACTGCACGCCGTCCTTGAGGGAGCCGACGTCCATCTCCAATGCTTCGAGATGATCGGAGGTGTTGGAAGAGCTGGCGTCGGGGCCGGTGACAGGTCGCTGCTCCTGCTGCTGGAGGCGGCCTTGTACTTCAGCTAGCGAGTCGTCGAGGCTGTGGATATCCTCCTGCTGTGTTATACAGGTTGCCAGGAGGTCTGTGAGATGGGATAGGAGGAGAGCTATCTTGTTTGCGCTATCCTCCAACTTGCCATTCTCGGCCTCGGTCCGCCATTCCGCTGCCATTGTGAGCAAAGTCTGCTCTCCATTAAATATCTTCTCACGACGTTGAGTTCTTTCTTCATCGGCAGCCCTTGCTGTTGCCTCGTCATGCTGGCGCTGTTGTTCAAGTGCCAGCAAACATGCCTGCTCGGCGTCCTCTGCCTTCTTCTTCGCTGTTGCTGCTGCGTCATCTGTCCGTTTCTTTGTTTCGGTACTCCAGGCCAGCATCCGGGCGTGATAGGCCTCGTCTGGTTCTCCGGACCTCTGGTCCATGACGGCTGTTTGTGAACGCAACACCATAGACCAGGTCGGGGGCCTGCTGACGTGGTATTCCCTGCTGCTGACGTGGCACTGCTAGCGTGGCCTGCTGACGTGGCCTGCTGATGTAGTCTGCTGACGTGGCCTGCTGACGTAGTCTGTTGACATGGCAACTTACCAATGTCACCACAGGGGGTACCCTGAGACAGGTAGAGAAGGTAGGGCGAGAGACAACAACATAGGTGGGGAGGGTGGGTGGGAAGAATCGCCCAGATAAGGAGCCACTAATCAAAAAAGAAAAGTTTGAACTTTGCAAAAACGAATTTGAAGAATAAAAAATCTCGACTTTTGCAAGTTCAGTAGGTCTCCCGACCTCCCTTGAAGTGCGAAACTATCAATGAGAGAAAAAAAAAATCAAGCTGCAGACTGCAAATGATTAATAAAACTGACTAACAGAATCCTAGAACTGCGCAAAAAAAATTTCTGAAAAGAAATGACAAGTATTCGGATTTACTCAGATGAGAATATTCTCAGTTTTGAAAATAATATCTGCAGGAGGGATTTCCTGTACAGTTTTCAGAAAATTGAATTTCAAAAAAAAATATATTCTGAATTTCTAAGTAACGGGAAATACAACAAGAAATTGAAATTTTCGAAAAGAAGGATATTCCGGATTTCTAACAACGGAATTTCAAATTTTCAGAAGAAAAACGAATATGGAGATTTCAGATGTTGCGCTATTGCGATTTTCCACCACAGAATAGCGAGAAAACAAAATTCAAGAAAAGAAAAAAAAATTTGATTTTCGGCAGTAAGGTCAAAATCGTGATTTTGGGGGCTAATTAGTGTGCTCTAATCAATCAATAAAGACTAATCAGCTACCTAGTCCCCGCACACGTGTCAGATCAGGCTGTCCTGATTCACGTGTGGTGCACCGATACCAACTGTTACATGCCCATATGGGCGATGTACATAATAACCGAGGATCCGCAATGTGATAAAAAGGACTGAATGGACAATGCAGTGCGGGTGGAATCTCAACTAGCAATGTGCATTCTGATACATGCAAAATGGTGTCAAATAGCGCAGGGAAGATTTAGATACAAGACATGACCTGACTGAGACTGACCTTTATCACGCCGCACAAGATAGCGAAGCAGAATGCTAGAATACTAATGACTAACCCAATCAATGTTTCATCGTAGACCAAACATACATCATGCTCATGACAAGGTGTGAAGGAGCCTGGCGCTGTACACAGGAAGGAAGCGCCAGGTCCAGACATACATAGACGAAGAGGAGGGAATCAGACGAAGAGGAGAGGGAGAGATGGGAATGTCGTCAACACCAAGTCTTTGCCACAAGTCCCAAATAATCCCTCGTTACAATGTCTGAAGTCCAAAAGTCGAGTCTGGATCCAATGTCACCGAGCTCTCTCTGTCTTCTCTCGTAGTCTCCAGATGCAGTGAAGTAAGATCAGGAGAGGGTGAGAGGGAGATGGTGGACTGAGAAGAGGAAGAAGAAGAACTCTCTCTCTCTGTTACGAGCCAAGAACTAACCTGTGATGTTGACGCTGTGCTGCAGGTGCCTCAAAGACGAAGCTGGAGCAATGGCACTGCAGGTAAGTACCTCTGGCCTCTGCCCAATCTCTCTCTCGCTATAGTGCTATCCTAGCTATGGCGCCCAGCACTGGAGACTACAACTACCTACTGCGCCCAGCGCTGAAGACTAAAGGCTAATGCTACTACTACTCCTGCAACGCTCCCTCCAGAGTGCTGCGGCCGAATTCTGAAGACTACTGCCTCCTGCCTGCCCGTGAAGTGCATGGGAAGTCCCTATGTACCTCGGCCTGCCTCCTGACTGCTTGAAGGGCGAGCCAGGCCGAGGAGGCTGCTCTTGCCAATGCCGAAGTGTGCCAGGGGCTGGCGCTGCAGCAACTGCTGAGGCTGGCGTGGGAATAGGCTAAGAATAGCCTGTTCCAGAAATCCTGGTTCGGTGCCTGAGTTTCAGGGCCGGTCGTTCTAATGAGCGACCGCAAATGACCCTTTGTTTCAGGCTAAAAAGGTTATTGCCATTTTTAGTCTGAAACGACACAGGGACTGTAGGCCCTTGCTTTCAGGCTTTCGGGCTGAATAGTCACGGGGCCTGTAGGCCCTCGTTTTCAGGCCTTTAGCCTGAAGGACGCTGGGCCGACAAAATGACCCTCGTGTGCAGGCGCAACATGTAACAACTATGACCCGTATGCAGACATGACCCATACTTCAATAGGTCTAAGGTTCAAGACCCGACAACTACTCAGACCTACGACATACAACTTTCAACTACTAACACACAGGTCACGGGTTCAAGACACAGGGTCGACTTGATAATGTACACAGAGTAACACAGGTAAGGTAAGGTAAGGTCTGGGGATCAAACTCTGGGATCCGCATCTGTGACTGCAAAAGGTGAAAACCGTTTCACTCCCGCCGGCCTAAATTCGAGGTCCTCCGAGAATACTTCAGTTTAAGGCAGGACCTTTTGCTTTCTTATCTCATTCGTATGCTCGGACTACTTTGGGAGCTGTCTCTAGAAGTTTTGTTTGTGTAAACCAACAGTCGTCCGCTGGTTCCTAAAAAGTGAACCTGACCTTATATTGTTTTTGCGGACGACCCCTACCTCCTGTTTTGAAGACATCATCACCTAAGATGCCGTCAATGTTGTACCTTCCGTCCATGTCCGGAGGGATCATGGATCTCCGTGATGGAGACTGCTGACTTGTGGTACAAGGCAGCAACTTTGACTCATGAAACACCGGATAGGTGTGGAGGTGCGCTGGAATCTTGACTGTGTAGGACGGTTCATCCTCTCCGCCCTTGACTTCTAAGACTGGCCACGGTCCTCGGTATGCAGGCAGTAACTTTTGGGAGATGTTCTTCTCAGGGGCAAACTCTTTGGACTTGACGCAGACTAAGTCGCCTTCTTGAAACTGTGACGGGCGACGGTGCTTATTAACTTGCTCTATCATTCTATGTTGGGCCTTCCTGAGGTTCTCTATGACGGTAGCAATCTCTTTCTCGTAGTGTAGTGCAAACTCCCTAGTACCAGGCGATAACCTTTGAATTTGATCCCAGTTCAGTCCCTCAAACGGTCTACGCGGTCTAAAGGATTATGTAACCCATTGGGAGTGCGACAAGTCGCTAAATGCACGCTCTTATTATATGTGCTGGCTACCTTGGGAAGCATCTCATCCCAATTAAGCTGATCAGGTCTAATATACATTCTGAGAACTTGTTGCTGGGTCTTGTTCATCTGTTCAGTCTGACCGTTAGTCTCAGGATGACGACCAGATAACATCAGCAGCTTAGAGCCATAGACTCTCATCAACTCCAGTTCTGACTAGTGAACTTGGTGTCTCTGTCACTAACTATTGACAGCGGGAGACCATGTTCACTGACCCAACGATCGAAGAACTTGTCTATAACTAGATCGGATAGTGCCTCTGCGGGTAAAGGAACAAAAACTGAGTATTTGTTGAACCTATCAACTATAACCATGACTTGCCTCTTGCCATGCCTACCCTTGACTCTAGCATCCATGAACCTGGTATCTCTGTCACTAATTATTGACAGCGGGAGATCATGTTCACTGACCCAATGATCGAAAAACTTGTCTATAACTAGACCGGTTCGTGCCTCTGCGGGTAAAGGAACAAAAACGAAGTATTTGCTGAACCTATCAACTATAACCACGACTTGCCTCTTGCCATGCCTACCCTTGACTCCAGCATCCATAAAGTCAATGGACACAGAATCTCCGGGTCCTACGAGAATAGGCAAGGGTTTGAGAAGACCGAGAGGGGCCCGCGTAGTGGTCTTATTCCATTGGCATACTTTGCAACTGGGTACGTAATTTATGCAGTCGGCTTTCATACCTGGCCATGTATACGCACGTATGAGGTTGGCCAATGTCTTTTGCCAGCCAAAATATCCCACTGTGTCATGACATTTCCCTAAGATCAAACTACGGATCTCTTCACTATCGGGAACGCACAAACGGTCAGCTATGTAAGTCTTTCCAAATAGCAAGCCGTTTGTAGTGCGGTAATCTGGTTCTGACTTTGGGGCCTCCCTAACTCTCTTGAGGAGGTCGCTATAGATAGGGTCCTGTGCATACGCTTCCTTAACTTTTTGTTGCGGGTCCCTCCCTATATCCAGATATTGAACTATCGCTCCAAAGTAATCAGCTCTCCTACTTAGAGTGTCTGCAACTACATTATATTTCCCTTTTACTGGCTTAAGCTCAAAGTCATATTGGTCTATCTCTGCGGCCCACCTAGTAAGCTTAGGTGTCATCTTGACCTGTGTGACTGTGTCTTCAACCACCTCAGTGTCTCGTGGTCTGAATAGACTTTGAAATGCCTCCCAAGCAAGTAGTGCTTCCAATGTTTTAATGCTTGTCTGAGAGCGTAGAGTTCCCTTTCATAGGTAGATGTCGCTACCTTCTCTGAAGGGATCCTAGCAGACATGAACTCTACGAGCCTATACCCGTTGCCATCATCTTGCTGTAAGACAACACCTGCCATACTGACTTGTGTCAGTGGTGACAACAAAAGGTAAGGATGGACCAGCTACCTTGAGGAATGGATACTCTATCAAGGCCCGCTTTAGCTTCTTCAGGGTCGATGTACAGTCTTTGTCTCATTTCCAGATTGCTTCTTTTTTTAGCAACCTGCGAAGGGGAGCGGCGATAGTGAAGAAATTTCTGACAAACTTCCTTTAATAATTGGCTAAGCCTAGGAACGACCGCAACTCTGTCAATGTGCGGGGCGTTGGCCAATCTTTGATTGCCGCTATTTCGGTGTTCTCAGGTTGAATGCCATCTCCATCTAAGACGTGGCCCAAGTACATAACTTGTGTCTTGGCCCACACACACTTCTTCGCGTCAGTCTTGAAATTAACTTCTCTCACCTTCGCCAAAACCTGTCGTAGATGGCCCTCATGCTCCTGGATGGTCTTACTAAACACTAGGATATCATCTAGATACACTACCACAAATCTATCTAACCATGACCTAGACAAATCATTCATACAACGCTGAAAGGTAGCTGGCGCATTGGTTAGTCCAAAGGGCATCACTATGAACTCGTAGTGCCCATATCTAGTCCGAAACACTTTCTTGTACTGATCATCAGGATGAACCTCTATATGAATCTGATGATAGCCAGATTTCAAATCTATCTTTGAGAAATATTTGCAGCCCTGCACCCGATCTAACAAATCATCTATTCGGGGCAGTGGTTTTACATTCTTCACCATGACAACATTAAGACCCCTATAGTCTATGCACATCCTAAGCTCTCCATCCTTCTTGGGGACAGAAGGAACAGGCGCTCCAAATGGATGAACTGGGCCTAATCCAACCCTTCTCGAGGAACTCATCTAACTGCTTGCGCAACTCCTCTAACTCCCTTGGGGACTTTCTGTAGATAGCTCCCTTAGGAGTCCTACTGCCAGACTCTTATCTCTATGTGATGCTGGATCGGCCGCGACACTACTCTTGTAGGCGGCTTAGCTAAATCATACTCCTTCAGCAGCTTGGCGATAGCAGGATCTATGGGTTTCATAATCTCCTCTTTAGGCTCAGTGACAGACCTAACATAGGCCACAAAAACCTGCTCTTCTAATTGCTCCTTCTTTACTAAACGCGCAAACGCGGGAGCACTGAGACAACAATGTGCCAGAGAGTTGTCCACTCCTGACACATGAAACAGACGAATCATCTCGACTTCGCGTGATGGACTAGGGAGCCGACACTCGTGCTCCCTCAAGTGGAGTGTGACCTCTGCTGCCTCTCCCCAGTCCATTCCTAGAAGCATGTCAAAGGGAAGACTATGTTCTACGACGAGGGTCAGGGAATGGAGAACTTTCTCCACCTTCTCATCCCTCTCTAAGCGAAAGTACGCCTAAACTCCCTCTACATAATCCTCGACTTGCATAGTGCGATTGTCTGCGAGGATACTGACTATAGGGTCTTCTAACTTTTGGACTTTCAAATCTAACTTTAGCTTCTGCAACGCTTTCCTGCTAATATAACTACGAGTGGCCCCACTATCTATCAAGGCCCCTACTCGTCCTCTAAAGACCTCTACATCTACTAAAACTAGTTGTCCTTTCGCGTCCTTCTTCATCTTGGCCCAGACAGGCATCCTCTCTTTCAATTCTTTTACCACTCCTATGAGGGAAGTGCCTAGAGAGACCCTAACATAAGCAGTCTCTGGACAACGATCTAGGCACTGGCCAACAACCCCTGCCATAGACACATGTGGTTTGGGAGTATCCATGTGGTGCGCACACTCTTCTCCACATGGTCTAGGGATAGGGGCAATTGCGACCCCTACCAGCGGTTGCCTTTTGCTGCCTGTGCAACAAATAGGGCCTTTCTGTACTTAGGGCAGTATAATTTAATAATACAAGTGGACCCGCGGCAGCGACGCTGCGGACCGAGGAGGGGGGTGAACAGGGGGAGGGGCCGTTGTTGTCACACCGCTTGGGCTTTTTTTTTTTTTTTTTGTCGTCATATTCGCTATACAATGTATACACTAAAAAAACCATGACTATGGCAAACTGTTTCCGACTGATCAGGAGGTTGTGTGTGTGTGTGTGTCTGTGTGTGAGCTCTCTCTCTCTCTCTCTCTCTCTCTCTCTCTCTCTCTCTCTCTCACACACACACACACACACACACACACACACACACACACACACACACA